TTTTGGGAAGTAAGTACATAGATTTAATGTCGATTGTATTTTAATTTCACAAGTAATATACTCAGGTGCAATATACAATAGCTGTAATGGTGAGGCTTAAAAATTTGTTTACACTTTTATTCTCTTTGTTCTTGTCATTTTATGGCGTATTGCAAGTCGGTAAAATATTATTAGAGAATAAAAGAATAACTTTTATTACAAAAATAAACACTAGAATACTATTTTGTTACTAGTATATTAATTTACAAGTTAATACGACTTGTCAATCTTTTATGGCTGTGACGTGAAAATCCGCTGTTTATTTACTATTTTGCCCTATGATGTTAAAATTAGCTTAACAATTTGTCAATATGTTTTTCGGTTTAATTATTTAATTTATTCATTTAAGATTTCACTTCGAATAATTTTGCATGTTTTCTTAGTATTTCTATTATATGCCGTATTTGCTGCATATATAAAATATTCAAATGTTACAATCCTTAAAGCTGAGTTAAAAATTGTGACAAAAATAATATAAATTTATAAGAATATTTCAATATATTGAAGAATATTACAATATATATTAATTTCAAAAATGAAAATCCAGTTAAAACCCAAACATCCACACTGTAAAAAGCAAAACAACATGACCAGATTGAACGTACAAGAGATCAAAAATACCGCGGACGCCCTCCGGGAAGCCATCAAAGAATCACTTTCACCGATAACTTCAATCTCAGTCTTGGAAGCTGAACAAGGCTGGACGCAATTAAATAAGGGATGCGATTTAAATTAAATTAATTAAGGGATGCGATTCATAAAACTAGCGAAGCAGTACTGGGGAAGTCCAAGAAAAAGAAACAACCAGACTGGTGTAACGAAAATCAACCTTATATACAGACCTTGTTGGAACAAAAGCATAGAGCACATCAAGCAGTCACTGCAAATCCACACAATCCAAGTCTGGTAGATAACTTTAAAGCAGCCAACAACACGCTTCGAAGAAATCTGCGCCAATTAAAGAATGATTGGTGGTCAAAAAAGGCTAATCAGATTCAAGAGTACGCCACGCATCACGATTATTGTAAATTCTTCGAGGCTGTAAAAGAAGTATACGGCCCAACTAAGAAGGTAAGCTGCCCAATCATGGCACAAAATGGCGAACTTCTAAAAGAGGAACAGCAAATTAGAAACCACTGATAAGAGCATTACAGCCATATTCTTAACCAGGAAAACAACCCCAATATAGAAGCACTAAATACAATACCTCAGTATAAGAGCCTCGATGTATTAGATACCCCAATAACAGAACAGGAAATAATGGCATCCATAAAACAGCTTAAAAACAACAAATCAGCTGGCTGTGACGCGATCCCGGCGGAAATCTATAAGCAAGTAAAGAACTTATTGGTCACTTAAGGGTCTCTTCGATGTCATATGGGAAAGCGGAGAGGTACCTCAGGACTTTTGCAATGCGAATATAGTGAATATATTTTCGCACCAACCGTGGCACCGTCGATTCCATATTTTCCATCCACCAACTGTTAAAAATTGTGACAAAAATAATATAAGTTTATAAGAACCCAAAACAATGTCTAAAATTTCGTCCGTAACATGTTATGTATGTATATACCTCTATTTGCAGATAAATTAGTTGTTTGGATATTGAAATGTATACAGATTAATCTTCAAGTGTTTTTCGTATAATAATAATCGTATATTATATAAATTACTATATTATTTAAATATATTATTTTCTGAGATGGCTATTGTCCGGTTCCGCTGAGTCGGTTTCAGATCATTGTGCCCCTCTACTGATCTCTAGGATACTTTCTTTAGTCCTATTCTCTTCACACACACTCTAATAACTTGAAGACTGAACTCTTAATATAAAATATTTAAAACACATAATATTAATTATTCATTTTCTGATAATTTAATCATGTATCAACTAATCATATTATTATCAACCCTGATTTCAAAATGCACAAATACTAATAATTTTTTTTAAATATTACAACCTAAAATAAAACAAAAAAAAATATGAACAATAACTTTTTCTATGCTTTATTTACTTTATGAACCTTTTCTTTTTGCCACCTGCATCCCCTGCGTGAAATTTAAATTCCAGTTATGGTGGGTTCATACATGGTGAATTAGTCCTAACCTTACCCTTAACATTAACCCCAAGAAATTAGCCTTGAAAACTTAAGGGAATGCCGTTCATACTTCTCCTACTTGTAATAATTAGCGATAGGATAACTCGAGCGAAAATTCGCCCGAGTACTCGATTATTGAAATAACCGACATTGCTCGATTATGAACGAGCCATGCAAGTGACGAGGTACGACCGAGGAACGTAAGCGATCCTAGAATGAAATAAATTGAAATCCGATTTTAATGTATCATACTATTTTCTACATACATTGCAGGAAGCAAATTTATACGACGTTATCCGTTGCGTATGTGAGTGACAAAATTTTACGACCCACATCGACAATGCTTTGAAATAAACTAAATCAAACGAATTACTTGTCGCTCGTCGCTTGCTACTTGCCATTCATCACCGAAAGAATATGTGCTCTGCGCACGCAACTTACTGCTTGGCGTTACGAGTACAACAAACGACGGGCGAAAACCGGGACTTTTAAATACGAGCGATATTTCGCTCGAGCGGTCGCTCGACTCTTGAAATCGCTTGTAAGCGCTTGCGCTCATATAAAACGTATATTTTGAACTGACCCAAATTCACAATTATTTTTAAAATTTTTAAAAACACTTGAGAAACTAATTTTAATATTAATAATTTCTTCTTGTAGACCAAGAATACATAATTTATTAACATTTATAAACCGTCAAATTCAACATGTCCAGATATTATTTCGAGAATTCTTAAAAGCCCTAGTTTTGAGCATGTGCGATTCAGTTGTGAATTAGCATTAGCCCTAGGAATATAAAATATCCCAACCTGTTAGGACTACAGCTAATGTTATACCATACCATATCGCAATTACTCGCTGGCGAGTATTTTGACACGCATTAGAAGATGGTCACGCAAGGCGTTTTCTTTCATGAGCTTTTCTGTGACTGAAAAGCTCGATACGTGATGTTATCTGTCTACCGCACCCCAGACATTCAAAAATCTCATTGCTTTGTTGCCTCTTTACTTTTTGGTTGTCGCTCTTAACTGACTTTACAATTCTTCTCTGTTCCGTTCTATTGTGAGCTGCCTCTTCCTACTGATTCTGCTTGTTAATTCCCTTTAAGTTTTCGTGGAAAATATCCTTGAACCTTTTGAGTTGTCCACCCGGCCTCCTCTTACCGTCTACAAGCTCACCGTAAAGCAGAGATTTTGGTATGCGGTTTTCTTGCACTCTTCATACGTGACCAGCCCATCTTAAACGGGACTTTGTAATCATGACTTCAATACTCTCGCAGTTAGCTTTTTCAAGGACCGATACGTTTGGGACATGATGGAACCATTTTACTCTTAAGAGTTGTCTAAGATGTTTCTGTTGCATCTTGTTTAACGCGTTCATGTGTCGGCGGTACGGCACCCAGGTTTCGCTTCCATATAACATGGTGTGAATTATTATCGCTCGGTACACCGCAAGTTTCGTTTTTGTGCTCAAGTCATGATTGTAGAACACCCTGTCTTTTAATTTCCAGAATGCTCTTGAGGCGCTGCTAATCCTGTGCTGAATTTCAGAGTCGATATTGGCCTTTTCCGAAATCAAACTGCCGAGGTAATTGAATTCCGCTACATATTCCATCAGCTCATCTTCTGGGGGAGTGCACATGCTTTTAGTTTTACCGATGTTCAGCTTAAGTCCCAAGGCCTCGTATGCCCATGTATATGCGTTCAACATACAAGTTCTGTGATGAATTTTGTACGTGTTTTTGCCCTGAGTCTTTTTATGTTGAACAGACCGCCGTCGTATCTGTATCTAATGCCCAAACCTCTTTCCTGCAGTTTGCTGTCCACTATAATGGAGAGCGCTGCCATGAATATATTGAATAGGAGAGGCGCTAAGACACAACCCTGCCTAACGTCTGTGTTTGTTAGGAAGGGATCGCTCAGTGATCCATGATATGACACTCTTGATTTGTTGTTGTTTCTGATTTGCTCTTCCTCTTTTAGAAGTTCGCCATTTTGTGCCATGATTGGGCATGAAAGCTAATGTTAGGATCGATACAACGAAAGTATGAACGCTAGCATTCCTTAACGTTGATTCATATTCTTAGGGTTGGGCTAATGCTAATGTTAGGGCTAATATCGGAAGAATGAACCCACCATTGTCAGCTCGACGCCGAATATGTCCATGGCTGGCAACAATGAATTTAAAAATTAAACTAATAGTTTAATTGGTATCGAATATATCTACTAATAACAACAATCAAATAATTTTTAATATAAATAATATTTGAATTAAATCATGATAAAAATAGTTTTCTAACAGACTAAAAAAATCTTGAAAAAAAAGAGCTTGGTTGAGTTATATCTATTAATACTTGAATAATTTTTATTACCTAGCTAATAAAATTATCAGTGTTCATAATTAAACAATCTAATAATACTATAAGTGCATCAAACATGTTCGGACACAGCGCGAAACATCTTGAACGTAGTTTCGGTTTCGGCCATAGTTTCGGACGAATTGCAGCCGAAACCGAAACCAAGCTGAAATTCGTTATTTTTGCCGAAACTGGACCGAAACCGAAACCGGAATCGAAATTTCGGTCGGACACTAATAATTTATAATAACTCAATAATTAAAAAAAATTAAATCACAGTTTCTTAATTACATATTATATTAATTTTTAAATATTGCTCCATACCAAATATTTATTTATTCTATGGATTTTAATCTGATTTAGTATACCTAGATGTTTTATGGACATGCATTATCTTTATTACCTAATAAAAATATTATCTTACAGTTTTATATCACTTTAAGCCAAGTAAAATAAGGAATATTTAATTTCTGTCATACCATTTATTCTGCTATTAAGATGATATCTGTGTCTGGATCTGTGTTAACGAGTTATGTTGATTTTAAAAATTTAATATTTCTAAATTTTAATTAGTTTAAAAATACGTGTTCTTCTTAGAAGTAGATACAGGTAGTTTGGGCTGTTTATTTACTTTCTTTATACAGTCAGTGATATTTGTAATTAATTCATAGCATCTTTGGCTTATTATTCATATATTTTAGAAAAAAAAGATGTTAATTTGGTTCGAATTTTAACGTTATTGATTGATGATAATAGTTTAAATGATAATAATAGATAACACTAAAATGAAAAAGTTATAAAATCATATAGATATATTTCCTGTAATTTTTCGTAAACAAGATATGGAGTTATCTATTTCTCTATAAATAAAAGCTAACTTATAGAGGAATATTCCAAGACCTGAAAACAAAATTACAACTATTTAAAGAATAACCAGGAGTGAGTTTCCCACAATAATAAGGTGCGGCCTAAAGACCCTTTTTCTAATATTATAATTTTTCATGAAATCGATATACAGTTTGTGCAATCGCTGTATAATAGTAAAAACTTAGTTTCTATTAGCTCGAACTACGAAAACGTTTACTTTTATTTAGAACCTTTGATATATTTTGATAAAAAAAAAGTGCTGTAAATATATCCAAAGTGGTAAATGTTACATGTGGTAATTCAAAGTGGTAAATGTTACATGTGTAAATAAGTGTTGAAGATGAAACTTTGGATTGCTGATTTGTTGAGATCCGCAGCACCTCAATTTGCTCCCGTTTTATTTGGTAAGTAGATGTTGCATTTTATGAATAAAATACAGGGTAATTCACAATTGACCTCACCATTGTTTTCTCGAAAACTATAGGAGATACGAGGATGGTAAAATAAGGGAAAAGTTGTGCGTTAACGTTATCATTTGAACTTCCGAGTAGGTTCCGGACTTAAAATTTAAGTTTTTTTTCTGATTTAAATCATTTTAATGACTTAAGAACCCGTTTTAATTATTTGTCGTGTTACGCGTGCGTAGTGAGTCTGTTGTCTTTCAAGTGAATCCCCGACTCCGTTATGTAGCCCGAAAGATTATTTTCTTTGCCTAATTTCTTTAGCTTCTCTAGGCATTCTTTGACTAACTTCGAATTGATGGTTTTGAGTTGATCGCGTTTAGTGCTGCTTGACTATCGGATAGGATGGCAATTTCCCGTTTTCGATAGTTCATATCTAAGACAAATTGTACTCATCTTTCGATAGCGTAAATTTCTGCCTGATAATGATCAAAACACATCATCACTTTTTACTAGACATTTATTCGGTGATATCTAAACTGTAATGGATACATATAAAGTACTACAAAATCGGTTAAATTTGTAAAAAAACATATTTTTGTGTTTGTGGTTGTTTTGAAAATTAACCGTTTTATTTTATGTGGTTTTAGTCTCATCTGTACCTACAATAAATTAATAATATGATACGTACTAAGAAAATTGATAATTGGTAACACAAGAAAGTTAATATTAGCATTTAAAAAAGGATTGAATTCTGGTTGTCTGGACTTAATAGTGATTATATTGATTTAAGACATTTTACTGACTTTACTTGCAGATCATCATGATTTAAGTCAAATATATAGACTTAAGTCATAAAAACGACTTAAATAACTTTATATTGAAGTCTTCACAAAAATAACTTGACTTGATATAAAATGATTTAAGTCAAAGACTTAAGATTTAAATCATTTGAACTTTATGTTGAATTTGACGTAAATCTAAGTCTTAAATCATTTTGATTTAAGGAATGACAGACTTAAGTCGTTTTAATACTGACTTGTTGCAGCTCTGGTTCCGGAGATATTTGAGAAAAAAACAAAAATTGAAGATTTCAATTTGTTTTCTGACGTTAGTAGACAAGGTACCCCAAAACTAAAAGCAAAATTGCATTGCCACTTTTGTTCAGCTACATAACAGTGTTTTCAGATCTGTTATCCGGGCTCTGTTCTGGCTTATGATATAAATCGAAGTATAGGTACCTACTGGAAAATACCTCGAATGATGTGATTCATCAAAATTTGTGGTGATAGTATATAGAAACAGAGAATTTCTTATACTTGAATTTGATAGTATATTTACTTGAAATTTCATACTGAATAAAATTACTTGTCTACGTATACACAGTGGTCTGAATTGTATTTAGGAAACTTCGGCATATTCTGCATATTCTGCAGATAAAAATAAGTAAAAAAGTTCGAATAAGCTTATGTCCTAAAATACTTTTTTCCCAGTTTAACGACAAAATCTATGACTAAAACCGTAGAAATAAAAACTAAGCGTAATACATGTACAGGGTGGGTCAAATTCAACGCTTTTAAATGGAAACACCCATTTCTATAGGAGATAGACGAAAACTAATATCGGTGTCTGTAGCTCAATTTTCATCAAAAACATGATGGTGTAAACCGCACATCAATATCTGTTACCGTTTCGGAGTTACGGGGTGTTTTTCAAAAATGTGCATTTTTAACAAATCGCTGTAACTTTTTTGCTATCGAAAATTTTGTATTTCTATAAAAACATTTTCGAAGCATCTATTTACTTAGAATTTAATGATTTAAGTATATATTTTTTTAAATTAATAATTTAAGAGTTATCAACAGAAAAATTGATTTTTAATTTGGGACACCCTCTATATTTTTAATTAACTGAAAAGAATTTAAAATTACCTTTCCAAAAATATAGCACACTTGATATTTTGTTATAATCCCCTTCGAAATACAGAATTTTTAAAAGTTCGCCACTTTTAACTAGTAGGCTTTGGACCCTTTATTGATGATATGCCCTTAATGGAACTCGAAAACATATTTTTCCAGCAAGACGACGCACCGCCTCTGATCGCTGAAGTTATCAGCAAATTTTTGCATCCAATTTCAAGAATAATTGCATTGCATAGCCAACCAAGATTCCAGCCGTTGGCCGTCGAGGCCGCCTGACTTAGTGCCCATGGATCTAATCCTATCGATATATTTGCGGAAAAATAAAGGTTCCTTATTCTTCCGTATAATCTAGACAAGAATTAGAAATACTAACAGTTATGAGAGGGTATCTTTCACCCCTACTGAGTTAATGAATTCCGCGAGAAATGTTCAAAAACTGCTCCGTCTGTCCATAACAGAAGACGGTCGATATGTCGAACACCTATAGCAAAATCTCATGTCTTGGTTTGCAATTTATTTTTCTTGTTATTAGATATAGTTTAAATGTGTGTGTTGATGTTGATTAAATATATTTTAAATAGTTATAAAATTCTGCATCTCTCACAGCAAATATTATTTTCGTTTTAAATGATGCTCACAGCTAGATTTTTTTGCATTACAGCCGGTGCCGTTCAAAGCCTACTCATTTAAAGCGGGCGAATTTTTATATACTCTATATCTCGAAAAGGAATCGAGCAAAATATCAAGTGAGTTATATTTTTGGAAAGGTAATTTTAAATTATTTTCAATAAATTAAAAGTACACAGGGTGTCCCATATAAAAAATCAAATTTTCTGTTGATAATTCTTAAATTATTAATTTTAAAAAAATTATACTTAAACCATTAAATTCTACGTAAAAAGGTGCTTTGGAAATGTTTTCATAAAAACATTTCCAAAGCACCAAAATACAAAATTTTCCATAACAAAAAAGTTACAGCGATTTGTTAAAAGTGCATATTTTTGAAAAACACCCCGTAACTCCGAAACGGTAACAGATATCGATATGCGGTTTTCACTATCATGTTTTTGACAAAAATTGAGCTCCATATACCGATATTAGTTTTCGTCTATCTCCTATAGAAAAGGGTGTTTCCATTTAAAAGCGTCGAATTTGACCCACCCTGTACAGTTGGCTATATTTAGGTACTAACAATGGGCTCTGCAAATTCGAGCGGTTTAGAATACCTAAATTTGAAAAAAAAGTTGAAAATAATGAACATTTTATATTTTTTATTTAATCGGTTTTAAAAAAAGATTTTGACATATCCAAAAAACTAAGAAAGACACGTAAAAAATGCAACATTTTTGCTCTCTTTCAATTTCCTGTAGATTTATTAATTTCGTATAGATATTACGTTTTTTTAGTTTTACTTGCGTGTAAGGACCACCTTCTTTGAATCCTTAAACCCCAAAAATCTCGTAAAATGAAGAGTTCAAGACTGTTCAACTATAGAAATTAATTCGTAGCTCGTGCAATTTCCTACAAATTGATAGTTTTTATTTTTATGATTTTAGCCATAGATTTTGTTGTTATTTTTGTGTGTTAATTTTTTCCGAAAAAATGAGGTGACCATTTTATTTTTATTATAAGTCAGCGAGTTTTTGAGCTATAAACTTGAAAAGACCTTCTAAAAAAGCATTTAAAAGGTCTTTTCAATCACCTTAAAAACGGTCATATTCATTTTCTTCGAAAAATGTGTTCTTTCACCATTATTTTACTGTAAAAAGTTGCAATTTAGTTTTCGAAAAATAAAAAATGACTTTTACAGAGCGATATTATTACACCTATGATAATTAACAAAAAATGAATCGATTCGTTATTCCAAAAGCTTAATTTTTGCTGTATATGAGTTCTCCGATAAGACGCAAGGTTTTCGAGTTATTTATAAAAAATGGCAGAAAAATATGCAGTTTTTAGATGAAAAATCAACATTTTCAATCCTAAATAACTCGGCTTAGAATTCATCCCTTTATTGATTTTTGCATTAAAATGGCTAATTTATTTCTCACCCCCGAGAGGGGGTAGTACTCACACCCAGGGTGAAACTTTTGTTTCTTACATATATCTCTATTTACTGTTAAAATTTCACGTCAATCGGTGCGGGTGTGAAGAATTCGGAGTATTAATACCCAATTTTTTCCTCGCTTACTGGCCTAAAATGTTAATATGACGAAATCAAACTTCAGATAATTCGATCACTCATTAATAAACAGACAGGGATTTAGTAATATTAATATTTTAAGATTATATAGTCTTTAAAATTTTGACATAGACTGACTTAAAAATAAATGACTTTTAATCAAAACGTTCTATTTAAAGCAAAAATTTATATCTACGGAAAATATTTGTTTCTTTTATAATCACAAGCCATGGCACATATTTCAAATAAACTACCCATAACGTATTACTTAAGCCAAGTTAAATTTACCGAATCGATCGAGAATGGTTTACATTGGCCTATTGTAACGTAATAAACCTATCGAATGCTTTCGATTAACTCAATGTCAACACTGCAATTTAACTGGTGATATGCAAGTGGGTATGATTAGAGCTGAATGTGTCGAGTGTGCGTGAATTAATTGAAATTGAAATGGTGAGATGGTCATTTGGTCCAATTTCATCTTCGGTAAATGAACAGATTTAATACAAATAATTTTCAGTATATATAAAATATATTTTCTTTTTATTAATTGTCTTTTATTTTTTGATAAAGAAATAGACAGCAATAACCCAAAAGAAAAACTTTTTATTATTATAATTATAATATTAAGAAAATTCCTTCTTCATAACAAAATTTGCTTCTTCTTAAATGGTTAATTCCGTTTACACTTTTCTAAATTTCCATACAGATTTAAGAAAATTAAAAAAAAACATGAAAATATGGCTGAAGTCCTAGAGTCAGTTTTAGGTTCTCGTTCTTTAACAGATTGTTATTGATGGAAGTTCTAGTTAACGTCATCTTTTTTTTGTTTAAAAATTTAGTAAATCAGAAGCACAAATCACTGCCACGAAAAGGATGATAATAGTTATCAAAAAATG